ATTGAACATTACGACTTGGCTATTTTAACGGACTCTGATTGCGTTGAGAATGACTTACCTTTTTGTGATTTTCGAAACTGTGTACCGCTAAAACGATAACGTAGCATTCATAAACGGACTTACGCATACGAAATGGAAAGTGTATTTTGTGTAAACTGCGGCTCATCTGGTGGTTCAATGTTGTTGAAAGATGAACAGAGAAGCAATCGTGCAATATTGCTGTAATCGCATCGTTGTACGCAGAACCATCGGTTGCTGCGCCCATGTTATGACCATTATTTAGTACTTGAGCTTTACGTGACATCAAAATAATATCGACATCCCTGCACAATTTTTAGACAATATTCTAATTTCCAATTTAGAAGATGAACAATAAATATGAAATTAATCTGTGTTTTATTTCTAATTCAAACATAATAATTTAATGTAGGTGTAAAAACAACTTATACTACCAATTAGGTACTAAGTCGTTAAGGCTGGTTTCATATTCATACGTTTGAACCATGAAGCTAATACAAAGGGGAGACGGCATAAGCAACTGTGCACTGTGATTCTAAGTAGGTCCTGACGTCATCATAGTGGACGTGGCTTTAGTTAGTATACTGTCAGCATTCGTCCTGTGCGCTTATGTGTTGAAAAAATCGCAAATCGGTGTATTTTCGTAGTATTAAGAAGAAAAGGATGAAGTATTGTGTTATATTGTGTAAAAACTACTCAGATAGACGCTCTGATGTTATGGATGGCATCACATTTCATTTGTAAATATTTTTACACCTAATTTATTAAAATAGTTCTAGAAAAATCTCTTTGCGTCGGCTTTCAAATATAATTAAATATATTCGACACTAGATGGCGACACTTTGTGTCATGTGAACTAAAAATATAAAGGTCCGTAGAGCTCAGTATTGGTAAAATAATCATACGAAAGTGCTGAAATTTGTTTTGCTTTCAGACATAAAGAAATTTTAATCGCAAAATATTATTTTTATAGTTTATAATCATTTTGAGAACAGGCTGTATTCTCGTTAAGAAAACCTCATAAAAATGACAAAAAGACAGGGCCCTAATTAGAATTCAAGTATTATTCCCAGTAATCCAACTTTTAATATTAAATGCAGGAAATTTTAATAATTTTTAATATTAAAAGGATTTTTACGAAATGTTTAAGTTATATTTAAGTGACATTCTATATACAAAGAATCACTTAAATACAAATTAATGTTCTTAGATTAGCATTCAAAAAGTGCATTCGGATGCCTAATTTGGAATAAAATATTTATATTTTAATTGATTTGTAAATAAAATTATATTAATTATAATAATTTGTCTATTATTTGTTCTCCCTCAGAGATATCAAGTAGTATAACCCACACATATATAATAGTCCAGCCGTTTCTGCGTGAAAAAATTACACATACTTAGTGTGGAATAAGCTCAAGGAGACAGAAAGAACACACAAAATTTCGCCTTTATAATATTAGTGAGATAAGTAGGATATTTAGTTCCAAATTAAATATCCTACTTAATATTGAACATAGAATATTTAGTTTCAAAGAGACTTTATTTTATGGATAAAATAAATATTTCTTGAAGGTTGACTTTCACGAAATGATAAACATATTTAAATTGTATTTAAGTGATTATTTGCATATAGAATGTCACTTAAATATAACTTAAACATTTCGTAAAAATCAGCCAAGTACAATTTCCTTCATTTTAATATTGAACGTTGGGTTACTGGGTAAAATAATTGAATTCTAATTGCGGCCCTGTCTTTTTGTTATTTTTTATGAGGTTTACTTGACGATAGATGGCGGCCTGTTCCCAAAATTATTATGAAAACTATAAAAATATTATTTTGGCGATTAAAATTTCTTTGTCTGAATGTATTTGCTTCATGAGATAGACGCTCCGATGCTATGGATGGTATCACATTTCATTTGTAAGTAATTTGACACCTAATTTATTAAAATAGTTCTAGAAAAATATCTTTGCGTCGGCTTTCAAATATAATTAAATATATTCCACACTAGATGGCGACACTTTGTGTCCTGTGAACTAAAAATATAAAGGTACGTAGAGCTCAGTAATGATAAAATAATCATACGAAGGTGCTGAAATTTGTTTTGTATCCAGACATAAAGAAATTTTAATCGCTAAAATATTATTTTTATAGTTTATAACATTTTGTGGACATGCCGCCATCTATCGTCAAGGTAGCTAAGCTACATTGCAACATCGATATGGAAAGATTCGAGTAGTTTTACTATTTATCGGTAGATGTAGATAGTGTAGTGGGCGGGGCTTTGCATCCCCTCACCCCGCAAATTGTCACGCGTTGTTACATAGTGACATTTAATTACAACGTCTCCTCTTTGTATTTGCTTCATGATTTGAACAGCGCCGTCCAGACGCACACGCTTGCAAATACACTAGATAGGTAGTAGTCGATAATATTCACGCTGTTCAAGCGCGCACTAGTTAAACTTGGTTGAACGCAACCGTGGTTGATCCGCTCGCTGTTCGACGTCATGTCTAGCGGCGTGACTGAAACCAGCCTGAATCCTTATATATATATATAGATACTAGGTATCTTACCGTACCTTATATGCTAATGACAACATCTAAATGCTAACAGCTATTTTATATGTACATACATTTTTATTTTTACATTAATACACACAAACATTATCTCTCATTGCAAAACCAATGCTAATTATGTAGGTTTGTTAACTAGATTCTATGCTTTTATACGTTGCACTTACATACACTTAAGCTTTAGAACAAAAACTGCATACCTAATTATCTAGATAGGTACTAAAATATATAATTTCAGTTTCAATTTTAGATTCAGTTTGTTAAAAATCACTCGGAGCTATGAAAAACAGTAATATTCGTGGTTCGATTATAACCTCAAAATCTGATACATTTTTTTGAAATATATTTTTTATGCAGCTAGTCCGCTATAAAAATAAGATCATATAGGAATTTACTAATGATCGACAGTAAAAAACATAATTTTCCGATGCTCTTGGTTCCAGGGCGAACAATGTATGGGCGCAGAGCAATGTCCTTTGCTTTGTCACTCTTTTCTCGTTCATTCTTTCTACATGACCAAACCACCGAAGCATTCCTTTCTTAATCCTTGTCACAAAGTCATCTTGCACACCACGCTTTTCTCTTATCACACTATTTCTCACCCAGTCATTCAGATTCAGCCCTAGCATACTCCTTAAGGACCGCATTTCTACAGCATTTATTCTACTCTCATGCTTCCTCTGCCAGACCCAACTTTCACTACCATACATTAAAGTAGGGACCAACAGAGCATTATGAATTGCCATACGTGCCTTATTTGACACATTCTGACTCCTCATAATAGCGTGTAGAGCCCCATTCACTCTATTTCCTGCGTTCACTCGTCGTTCTATATCCTTATCATATCTACCATTCCTGTTCAATCAACTCCCCTTCTATTCTTATTTCACATAACGTTTTACTTTCTTCTCTTTCAAAAACCATCACTTTCATCTTACTTGCCTCACCCATTCTCAACCCACATTCTTCAACTTTCAAAATTTGCAAACAACTGTCCATAAATAGATTAAACAGCCATGGAGAAGCTACACAACCCTGTCTGACACCTTTATGAATACCAAACCAGTCCGAGTAGACCCCGTTGATCCTGACACAAGCACTAGAGTCCCTATAAAGAGACCTTAATGCCTGTATCAAGCCAGCGCTCAACCCAAATGAGTTCAGTGTTTGCCATAACACATTCCTGTCCACTCTGTCATAAGCCTTTTCCAAGTCCATGAACGCACAAAAAACTTTCTGGTTTTTGGCCAAAAACTTCTCCGCAATCATGTGCATTTTTTTATACACGTGGTAGAGCCATGCTGCAGCTATATTAGTAGTATAGTTGTAGCACGAATGGTTCGGCTCGACCGGGGAAGGACCACGCTCTCACAGAAAACTAGCGTAAAATAGCAGCTTAACGCTGCTGTGTTTCGTATGGTGAGTGTAGAGAACCGGAGACCCATTTTACTGGAAAAGAGGCATTCCATCTTGGTCCTCACGGGTGACGACGCATCTGCATTTTGATTCTTCATTGAGGATAAATGTGGATGTCTATGGGTCACAGCAACCACTTACCACTGTGGACTGTGTGCTCGTTTGTCACCCTATCCTATGAATAAAAAATAAAAATGTGCATGGAAAAGACTTGATCCGTACACCCGATCCCTTTTCTAAATCCAGCTTGCACATCCCAAATTTTTCCATCAGTTTCTTCCATAACTATTTCAATTAACAACTTAGCATACAGTTTACCCACAATGCTAAGCAAGCTGATACCACGGTAGTTTTTACAGTCCTGCTGCGAGCCCTTTCCTTATATATTATTGTTTAAATAATGGTTTGAAGTGGATTTTGATATGTAAAAGTGGTGCGATTTTATGTATTACATGTCTATTAGTGGAAACGGTGTCTGCTTAGGCGCCTTGAGACTATCGTCAACTGTCTGTTGGCTCAAGTAACCGTCAAAATCTCCCAAAAACTACGCAATATGACGCATAAATATATTGTGAAGCAATGTACTATAAAGAATTATTATTACTTTATACCGATTGTGAGATAAATAAAGACAAGGCTTAAAAGATAAGCATCCAAGCCAAGGATCTTAAAAAATCTTTTAGCAATGATTTTATATGTCATTATGTCAATGTCAAATTAAGATGTCAACTGTCAACACAAAAGTTGTGTTGTGACTGTGATTTTGCTGTTTGTTTTTGTGGTTTAAAGTTTTAAACAATTCTTTTTTACTTACAAAATATAATAGTCACTAAACAGTACCAAATATTGTTTCTCCTGCTAAGATAAAGCCATGTGAGCAACAATGATAATTGCTATATTATTAGGGTTTAATTAAATCCGTTGCAGTGAATAATTGCAATTACATTTAACTTTATCCCTTATCAAGTATTAATACACACATCACCATGTCGGCGTTATTAACAGCAGATTGGTTTCAACTAGATTCGTACTACAGGTATGCTTGTTTATATTTGTTTACTTGCATCAATCAATTCCAATGAAACTAAATCAAATATATGCAACCACTAAAGTTCATACTTTTGTATTTACCAGAAAATTTGACTTGTACACAATGGTATGGTCCATGGACGAAGGCTTAGGTAACATGATAGTTAGTGGTGCTCCATATGGTGGTCCCATAGCTGTAGTAAGAGACAGAAAACAGTTTGCACGTATCACCACAACAGCAAAACCTGTAATAACAATCTACAACTGTGTTGGTAATATTATGTCAAAGATTTTGGTATGTAAATTATTTTATTTCTTTAGATGCATTTATAATATATATTTTTGAGTATTTAAGTGTTCTTACTATTTGTATATTGAGTTCCAAAACCTGCCAATCTAATTTTCTATCTACTAAATTATTCAAATCACTTCACTACGCTTTTTATGTTCACCGCTGAACAATACAAAGTATCCACTATTAATATGTCATCACTTAGTTCGTACTTTATATTATTGCATACATTACATAAAGCTACACTATAAGGTACGTTGGGGTAAGATCGGTGATGGGGCAAGACCGTAGGATTCAAATTCCCGGCGAATTATGCTACACGACGCCATTTCATCCTGCCCCGACCCTCAGTTCGCGCCAGTCACTCCGGCAAGTGGGACCTGTGCTGCGTGGCATTTTATAAAACAATGTAATTTTTGTATTATTTTTGTCCATCCGATCTTTCCCTATCACTTTTATTTACGATTTTTAGCGAGAATATGGCTTCTTTTGTTATTATTTTGTGTGGATTTTTATGAAGTTATAGCTAAATAAAGCTGATCCATGCAGGGGTAAGATCACTGTAGGCCGAGATCCGATGTTTCCCCCCGTGAGTGAAGATCAGATGAATATTATCCGATCTTTGCCTGTTACAAATATGGCAGTGGTTGTTAAACTTTCATTGGTCGTGTATATTGTTTCGTTGATTACTCAAGTGACTATGGGACTCAGTCTCGTTAGCAAGTCTGTATATTTAAAAGTAATAAAACAATACGATGGTTTTATTACTTTTAAGTACACATTAAAATGCATTTTTTTTTATAAGATAAGGGTGACAAAGGAGCACACAGTCCACCTGATGTTAAGTGATTGCTGCGGCCCATAGACATCTATATCTATCCTCTATTACAAATCAAAATGTAATTTATAATAATTATTTAAAATATAATTTATAATAATAAATGCCGCTTTGTTAAACTATTTAAGTATATCTTCCTTAACTCCTGCATTATCCCAGGGCATTTCGCCAGTCCTTACTGTTATTTTTTTTCCCATATAAAATCAAATGCATCCGATCTTTCTCTTATATTGAGTAATTCCATCTTATGTCATAACAAAGTTTGAGAAACATAAAATTACAATTTCTTTATATCAGGGATAAGGTCGGATGGCAAGAAACAAAAAAAGAGAAAATTGTTTGGAACATTTATGTTTCTAGTAATTTATAGATCATATTGAAATATGTTTTTTAGCGTTAAAAATAGGACAAATCTCTTTTATAAACTTTTTTCTCTAAGCAGTAGAAGTGGTTTTAAATTTAAGTCCGGTCTTACCCCTTAATGGCCAATTTTTCATTATGCATATAAAAAAGTATGTCTAGTTTTCGCACACCTTTAAAGCAGAAACCGTTGAGATTACACAAGCAAAAGATTCTCAGAGCTAAACTACGTTTAACGATTAACGGTTTGCTCCATGTTCCATAAATCTAACGTATACGAATGTCGAGAAATTAAAGTTTTTGGCAGACTCTTCCAACTATTCGAAAATCCGTCCGGTATTACACCAACATACCTTATGTACATCGCATTGCTCATTTCTGAAAGGGTTATTAATCAATTAGTCCCCCACCCTGTGTTAGTGTATGTGGGCAAACGTTAGATGTCTGTGAAATATTTTATTCTTCAGACATTCAGTTTTCCTTACAATGTTGTCCTTGGCTGCTGAGCAAACTTTGCCTATTTACAGTGAAATTTACATACAGTTCTTAGCAAGTGAGCTACTACAGCTCTTATATTATATATATGACTTAAATAAATTCTATCTCAAGTGAAAATTAATTTAAATTGCAGTTTTTTTATCAACATATTAAAAATTATAAAAATATGTAACAGGTTGATTACTTTTTAAATATGTTTTAAACCAAGAATGTCTTTATCGAATTATTTCAGTGGAATAATGGTGTTCTCATTCATATGGGCTGGTCTGATGGGGAACAGCTTCTTTGTATACAGGAAAGTGGAGATGTTCTCATTTATGACATGTTTGGTGCTTATCAGAAAACATTCAGCTTGGGGCAGGAAGTCAGGGACACAAAAGTAAGCCATCATAAAATGTGTTATTGCAATGATGTTTTAATCTTTATTTACATTATTAAAGTAACTCATGCTAATTATGTTTATTCAAAATAATATCATCTACTACTCTAGCAATGTTTCTCATTCATTTGCCCTTTGTTTTAAAAATGACAGGCCTTATAACATAGCCTTTTTATACGTGGTAGAGCCATGCTGCAGCTATATTACTGGTATAGTTGTAGCACGAATGGGTCAGCTTAATGTTGCTGTGTTTCGTATGGTAAGTGTAGGGAACAGGAGACCCTTTTTACTGGAAACGAGATATACCATCTTAGTCCTCAAGGGTGATAACGCATCTGCATTTTGATTCTTTATTGAGGATATATGTAGATCTCTATGGGTCACAGCAACTATTCACCATCAGTTGGACTGTGTGCTTGTTTAAAAAAATATAATAGAGGTTATTTAATATCAGATTACGATTTTTGTTTCTTAGTTTTCTTTTGCTAAATGCACGAGACAAGACTCCTTTGTGAATTCTCTTATGGCCATTATAAGATACTGTGACGTTACAACATGCTATATCAGATGTCTCACACCTTTGAAGTACTCCCCGTTCCCTGTCAGGCATAGCAATCGAAATTCTCCCTACTTAATATTAGTTTCCAAGATTACTCCACTGCTGGATATAGATATAATAAAAAAAAGGAGTACATGCAGTGCAAGTCACCGGTGACGACTTATGAACACTAAACATGGTCCTTTACTGCTCAAAGTCACTTAGCAAGCAATGGAAATCGTTTTGAATTTCTCTGGGTGCTAAAATCTGTAACAGAGATAATCACAAAAGAACAATTACTATTGATATAGCCCTAATAGGGTAGGCCCTCAACTAGAGGGAGTGACTACCTGGTACGAAATGCAGGAAGTCTATTGACTCCTGTGACTAAGGATAGTGGTATGTGGTGTTCCTTAGGGGTCTTCTTATGCTTGGCAGAGGACTTGTGAAGGGCTGTAATTATGATGATGATGTTGATTTTAATGAGAATATTATCGTGATAATTGTGAAATTATTATATTGTCATTAGTTCTAAATAATGCAAAATTGCAGATTATTTAAACATCTAGAAGCGGGTCAAGTTACTATGATATCATTATAGTTTCTTAGCTTAATTAAGCCCAGGGTTTCCCAACCTTTTTTTGACCAGGGCCACTGATTTTTTTGTAGTTACCACGGACCACAAGGTGAAAAATAAAGCTGTTAATCTAATAATAAATTATAATCACAACTTTAACTTAATTATTTAATAAACTAAAAAGATGCATTCATTAACAGTATAATTTGTGTATTAATTGTAAAATCTAGTAGGTACTTACAACCTTACTGTGACACGGGGTGTTGCAAAGACCACGTGACGAGAAAATAATAAATGTGTTATTTAGAACAATTAGGTAGGTAAAATATTTCAATCTATCGCAGACCATATTTGCACCAATGGTCCACGGACCACTGTTTGGTAATCACTGATTTAACCAGACAGGCAGATGCACAGAAAAAGTTACTTTTAACAGTAATCATTTCAAAAACGGATACAATGTACATTTTATCTGTAAATGATGCTGATGAATTAAATAAAAAGATTTATATTGGCTTTACACTAATCTCATATCTTATTATCAGGTATGGAAAGCGCAACTTTTCCCTAACCCACATGGTATTGGCCTGGCTGTGATTACAACTACCAATCGCATGTTTCTAGTCAGCAATGTATCGGACCCTAAAATAAGATCTGTGCCAGATTTGCCAAGTAGGTATAATATAAATATATATTCTAATAATATTAAAGAGATAAAATTATTAGTGTGATAGTGTAAATAAAATAAGACTGTCTCTTGAAGTAATAAACTTCAACAGCTTTTTAAGTGCTACACCCCTGGACATATGCCATTCCCAAAATACCCCACTGTTATGTGTTACTTGAAAGTTTTACTCAGACTCACCATGCTAGCCTTGGGTTGGGGATCACTGATCACAACGCCAATATCTTTATACTGGTAAAACACAAATCTGTTCAGAATAGATTTTTTTTTGTTATCATGTAATCTTTAACTCTAAAGCCTTGTCCCCCAATGAACTGGCTGGATTCCGAACATCTCCAGAGTGTAATATAATATTATTTGTGTGTTTAATATTATTTCACCATTATATGTGTATGTGTGTGGCATGCGTGCGGGCATGCATGTGTGTGTGCGTTTGTGTGTGTGTGCATGTGCTCATATAAATGTAAACATTTTGTGTTAGCTTACAATATCTAAATCTGTATCAAAAATTTTAAATCAAGTGCCACTGTGTTTCTCGCTGGTATTTTCCGAACCAGTGAAATTCTTAAATAACTTTCAAAATAACTTTACAAACTAAACATCATTAGTAAAATTGATTCTATTATATCATTAAAAGTTATTATAGTGTGTGTATATTTCTTTATTCACATTCGATTTTCCAGGGGCTAATGAGCCAATCAGTTCTTGGTGTGTTTTGAGTTCTGGACAACGGTCCTCATCTGTGATTGGATTTCTTGTATGTAGAGATAAAGAAATCTACAAATGTCAGCTAGGGGAATCTAGAGCTGTGCTTATGGTAAGTATGCTTATAATGTTATATACAAAACATTTAATTGCAATAATGATAAAGGTATCTTAGTCTCCCCCTCTACTTATTAATAAAACTTTATTTAAATTTTAAAAATCATAATAAAGTTTGCAAAATCATTATCGATCAGTCATCAAAGCTTGAGGCATCTTGGTAGCCCTTAAAAGTCAAAACCAATGTGTTGCTCTTAGTACAATGTGCTACTCTAAGTACAACATTATATGAAAACGCATATTCAGTATCGCATTTTCAGATATTAGACATAACTTTCGTACATAACTTGTGAATATTCATAGAGATATCAATACTTTGATGATGAATAATTTTGGAACAATCTATCCTAAAAATTGCAAACGAAAAGGTCGATAGAAGAGTAGTAGAGTAACAATTAATTAGAAGTATTAATTAAATTAAAGCGAGAGAGATTTTTTTTCCATTTGCACAAATAAAAAGAAATAATGGACTTGGCGTTCTCATACCAATTTGTACAAAAGAGAGTACAGCCACGCGTCCCACCCAAAAAGTGAGTCTATTTTAGTGACTTAGGCATTTTACCGGTTTGAATGTGTATCAACATTCAAAATTGAATTTTTGCAACGCGCGCGTGATTAGGTATCTACTATTTTTTTTTATTCTTATAGGAGAGGGGGCAAATGAGCATGCGGCTCCCCTGATGTAAGTGACTACCGCCGCCCATGAAGAACTGCAACACCAGGGGAATTGTAGATGCGTTGCCTGCCGGCCTTTTAAAAAGGAGTAGGCTCTTTTCTTGAAGGTTCCTTAGACGTATCGGTCCGGAAAAATCGCTGGTGGTAATCGAATCCACAAGGAAGTTGTGCGAGGAAGAAAACTTCTTCTAAATCGCACAGTGTTGGACCGCCAATTATCCAGATGGTATGGATGGTATCGCGAGTTTTGTCGCGATGTGCGATGGTGAAATTGAGCGGCTGAAATTAGTGCGAACAATTCCTCAGAGCTATCCCCGTGATACATGCGATAAAATACGCAAAGAGTTGCAACATCTCTACGCAATGCCAGTGAGTCAAGCCGATCGGAAATAACTCGGTTGTCGACGATTTGAAGCGCTCTACGCTGGATGCGGTCCAGTGAAAGGAGCTAGCACTGGGGAGCCCTTGCCCAGAGATGTGAACAATATTCCAAGTGAGGCCGAACCTGCGCCTTGTAAAGTTGCAAGCGGTGTGCCCGCATGAAAAACTGTCTCGCTCTGCTAAGCACGCCAAACTTTTTAGAGGCCAATTTGGCCTTCTCTTCAACTAATTCAGTTATGATGTGAAAAGGACACAACTTACAACTTATCGTGAAAAGGAGGTTTTTTGTGAAAAGTTTTATGTTAGTGAAGTCTATTCTGTATAGCAATCTGTGTGACGTGACTTATCGCCGCAAACACAGACGTTTGTGGTACGAGGCTCACAGCTGTTATCAAGCACGAGGCCGGCGTTTTTATCATCTTTCAGAAAAAATAATTAGCTAATAATAATAAATAACTCTCGCTGAACAGTCTTTAGTGTTTCAATGTCAGTATATAAAATACATTAAAGGAGTAGATTTACCGTGTGCTGGCGGTGTATAAGAATACCCACTGCCCCATATCGTTCCTTGGGTATTGTAAGAGGTGACAGTGGGAAACTAAAACAAGAGATGGACAGCAGCATCTTCTTGAGAACAACTTAAAATAATAAAAAAACCGGCAGGCTGGCAAACGCAGTGTTTTCTTATTATTAAAACTATAGCAAAATCCTCCTTTGAGACAATTTACCAGGAGTAATTTGCATTTACTTTTTACTAGTTGTGCCACGCGACTTCGCCCGCGTGGTATTTACTACGATTTCATGGATACCAATTTTATTGCGCGAAACCCTAATTTTGTTTTTGAGTATTGTTACCATCTTATAAATATTGACAAATATTGACATTAATATTTATACGATACTTACGCCACTCAATTGTTTTGCCTTCCCGGAACCCCTCCACTAACACTTAAAACTTTTTGTTATGATATTAAAGTTCAAATTGACTTTTAAGTATTATTACGAATCTTTTGTATGGGAATATAGAAAAGTGTTGTTTTTAGACTTTTTCAGCCAATTTTTAAAATTTTTCTCTCCGTAAGAATCATCTTCGTACGTCAAGGAACATTATTAAAAAAGAATTAGCGGAATAGGTTTAGCTGCTCTCGAGATTTGCGCTTAGCAACACATTCAGCGATTCATTTTTATATATTTTTATATGTTCGGCAGTGGACTTTTATAAACTCTAATGGATGTAATAGGAAATTCTTTACCGCAGAGTAGATGCTTTTTGTACCGATTTCTCACGAAACAGCCGTGTTCTTTTGTTGCGGACTTTTGGATTTGCCATGTTAGAAGTTAGAACCACACCGTTCCGCTCTGAACGGTCACTCTGAGCCAAATACTGGCATCGAGGGAAGACGAATTTACGCGATAATCATAATCAACATCCCTGTGTATTCATTTAGGCGCTGCGCAAACGTAGACACTTTTGTGTCTTGTGTGGGATACGAGCTACCAGTGAATATTTTATTTTCATGTAATCAGTATGAAGTTAGCTATTCTTTGCGCAGACGCAAACACTTTTTTGTCCAGTTGCTTCCACTTGATACATATCGATCGCCAATCAGAAAGTGTTCGTTGTAGGTAACTGAAAACTTTAAGTTGTTCCACTTGATACATATCGATCGCCAATCAGAAAGTGTTCGTTGTAGGAAACTGAAAACTTTAAGTTGTCAGTTGAAGACACAAGCAACACAGCAAATTACCTTACAATTGTAGTGGCGCTGACGTTGACCTGGTCGATTTGCCTGTAAATTGGCGTGTAATAAACACAACAAGCAAAGGTAATGTTTCTTCATCGACATCCATCGTGAAACTGACGTAAAACAAGCAACGAATTGTTACCAGTGACCAGAAGTAGCAACCGGCGACTGTGTCCGATAGCCGCTACCGGACGCAGTGACTACGGTTTCCTGTGATGTGTGCCGTGTCGGTAACAAAAAGTGTACACGTTTGCGCAGTGCTTTCATGTCGTATTTAGTAAAACCTATTGTATACGTTCCATTGTAAACACAGGCCTCCTTTCATTGCCGAGATGGTTATAAAGTAATTGCTCCATCGCGCTGCTTCAATGCGTGTTGGCGGACTCACATGCCTTCGAAATATTTTTAATTTATACCACAAACATGCATGTCACGCCGGCACCGCTGAGCACGTGGTAATTCATCACTTAAAATTGCAGTTAACAATTACATTGGTACCGACAGGGATAAAACCGGGTTGCTTGTGAAAAGAAATTTAAAGGCCGCTTAGAGTAAAACCAACTAAAACAATCTATTTCATCTATATACAATGAATGGTGGCAATTATATAATATTATTTATTATCTAACACTTTTAACATTTTCCTTTAGGGACTAGAGGGTTTTCATCATGTTTCTTGTTTTTCTTCTGGGAGCTCTTCCTTGTCGCGAATGGATTCCGCCGGCCAGGTGCTCGCCTTTTATTTTCGCGGCGGGTGTTGCGCAACCACCGTACCTCACGCACTGTTTCTAGTGCTGATGTCGCAGTGCGCGGCATGCGGGGTTGACGGAGCGGCGACTCCGCCAACCCCGCATCTCCTCGCCGTCCGTAACAAATATTTATAATCTATTTTAAATAAAAATAAAAAAACTTCTGTTCAGACTGGAGCAGAGCGGCTTGTGCAAAGTCGTAACTAATGATGGGACTGGCTTTTATTTTTATTTTTACTTCTGTATGTTTTATAATCAATTACATTAAAATTGTCGTAAAGTAATTAAATTTTAAACCCTATTTTCATAACAATATGTTGATAATTTCAGCGTCCTGAAATACAAAATCCGTACACCCAGATAGTCTCAATAGTGCCGTCTCAAAATGGTCGACACGTAGCACTATTCACAGATTCCGGCTTCCTGTGGATCGGATCTTCAAACTTCAAGAGCAAGTATTGTGAAATCGACACAGGATATATAAAGCAACCAAAGGAATTAGTATGGTTAGTTGAAGTTGAGTTGATAAATAAAAAATGACTTTCAATAAGTATTATGCAATATATATATATATATATATATATATAATAAAAATAATTCTATTCTATTCTATAACCTTGGAGTATTAAAACATCTTCCTTTTTCAACCCTTTAACAGTTTACACTTGTAGTCCGCATGTCGCACTTCACATCTAAGTACCAGATATCACGCACATATTTTGTCCCGCAATTAAGACTGCAGCCGTTCCCTTCGCGTCACGAATTTGAGCCAACTTTGACGAATGTTCTTGCAAAAAATCTATCTCGCAATCTGGTTCAACGCATCGCAATTTTGCCCATTAGATTAAAGAGATTGCAGAAATGACCCACCCTGCATAGTTCAGGATTTCAGTTTTAAAGTGAATGTAATATTAACCATAATCAACAATATGTATTTTATCTTTATTTGTCATGACATTCCAAGGTGCGGATCACAAGCCATAGTTGGTCACTGGGACGACATGATGTGTATATACGGCTTCAACGACACCGTCGTATCCTATCCTTACGATGGACCCTTCCATATTATTCCCGAAATGGATTGCGTCCGTGTAATCTCGGAAATGACGCACGAACTGATACAGAAAGTACCGGTTGTAGTGGACAAAATTCTGAGGATCAACAGCACTGCGCCCGGTTCATATTTGGTTGAAGCGTCCAAACAATTTCAGGTATACATACTATTCTTTATATTTTCATACTTACCTAGGCATGTCGTGCCGGCTTCAGAAAATCCATAAACCTGACCTCATTCCATAGTAATCGGAAAACGCGAATGAAGGAAAGGCCTAGGAAATAGTGTGACCTCCAATAGATGGCGTTGATACCAATATCCATTACCAGATATAAAATCACAAATCGGTGACAGGCATCATAAATGCGATATCACTGGCACTGCAATCGCCGATCCACCTGTCAAGTATGGGGATTAAGGTGGAAGCGCCAGGGTAGCCCGCGAAATTCAAATTTTCTTACGTTTTTTGCAATATGCAGGTCAGTGTCAGGTTGTATGGTTAACAAAATATGATTCGCGACCGTAACGGGTATGTATTTACAGAATTATAATCATTATAATCATCAATAGAAAGAAAGAAAGAAAGGTTTATTCTCCAAAATACAACCGTCCAATACAACCGTCTATGTTTGTATAATTCCAATGTATGGCTATTTCCAGAAAAACTCATTCAAAGGGATAATATGAACTTAGAGGGTTGTATTGGTGATTTTAATGATAATAATTCTATAAACACATACTCGTTACGGTCGCGAATCATATTTTATTAAACATTCAACCTGACCCTGACCCGCAAATCCCAAAAAACGCAAGAAAGTTTGAATTTCGCGGGCCACCCTGGAGCTTTCATCTTAAGGCAAATGTTACATATTATGACAGAAGGGCATATCCAGCAATGGAGTGCTTAGGCTGAGGAGGAATATTCTATATAAAAGAAACTAATAGTATACTTTTTTTGAAGTAAAGGTGCTGACAAACAAGCACACAATCCACCTGGTGGAAAGTGTACACTGTATCATATTATACCTATATCTAGATTTAAATTAAAAATTTAGATGACTTGTAATACTTGAGGACTGCGATGGAGTCTCATTACCGAACGAGTCTGTGTAATACAACATCATTATGCCTCTATTTAACTTTCCGGCTTCCTGTGGATAGTGGTGGTCCTTCCCCGATCCGACCTCTTCATGCAGCAGGCACTGCAGCATGGCTCTATCACGTCGTTATAATATGTCAAACATTTTCCAGCTTACGGACTTAGTGCCAAGAAACAAATTATGTAAAAATAAAACAATAATTGTAGTATTTGGATTAAGTCCATTATTCATTTTTATTAAAAATATCTCTTGTGGTAACGGCCTAAGTGATTCCATCACCCATTCGTCCATTTATACAAAAGTATTTTTTATAATGTGACTATAACGAAATGAGCGAAATAAGCCATTCTACAAGTACCTAGTTCAAGGGTTTTGCGCTCGCCGTAACTTACATAGTCCACCGCTACAGCCAAAGTCCACTGCTGAACATAGGTAGCCTCCCCCTATAGATTGCCTCAGCAGGTTGGCAACCACAGTGTTTTTATTTTTAGTTATTACTAGGAAAGCGCTGCAGCCCTACTCCTGGTTTGTTTTCCTTCACAACAACATAGTTCACAAGCAACTAGCTTTAGTATAATGATTCTTATATTTACACAAATACTTGAAATTGAATAAAACTAATTTTACGGGGAGCAGTCCCCCCCCCTCCCCCCGTGACTATGGCTACTGTAAAGTACCCGAAACAGCGTTAATTAATAATAAGCGATACCCGTAAAATTTGTTTTATTGGATTTGGTATATTAAATATAAGATGAAATATTATCATGTGCACCTATTTCCAAAGGTATAAGCTGCACGTCCACCGTAAACTAAACTATCTTAGTTTATCTTAGCTCGCATAGCTGAGCCAGTTTTTCATACATGTGCGACCACCGCAAACTATGCCAGCTAAGCTAGGTAAAATAGCCAAACTAACTTAGTAGGCCGAACCGAAACTACGCGAACTAAGCTACGCGCCTCTTACCTTAGTGTTGTTTGTTTTAGCTTATTTTTCGGTGGACGTGCAACTAAGGTTAGCTTAGCTTAGTTCATTGAGCCTAGTTATCAAATAGTTTAGTTCACGGTGGACGTTCGGCTATATTTTCCATATTATATTATAAAGTTTTTTTTGCGGCGGCTATATTATTATTATAAAGTAATATTTTCTATAAAGGTTTGAAAGCCCAAAAGTACAAGATGTAATTTTTATTGCTGTAATAATAAAATAATAAAATTATTCTTCCATTTAGCATTTTGAGGTTTTGTTTTATTTTGGAATTGATAACTTTCAGAAACGAAGTCACAGAGCGGACGAGTACATACGCCTGGTTAAACCAGACCTCGCAGCAGCGGTTCAGGATTGTATCGACGCAGCTGCGTACGAATTCAGCCCAGAAGTACAAAAAATGTTGATCAGAGCCGCACAGTTCGGCAAAGGTTTTATTCTGGATCCGGTGCTGACGGAACACTATGTGAAGACGTGTCGGTGGTTGAGGGTTTTAAATGCAATACGGGACCCTAAAGTCGCCATCCCGCTTACTTTCCTCCAGTATCCTTTTAAATGTAGAAGTAAATAATATTTCTTACCAAACTTTATTTTCGTAGGTAAATGGGAGACGTAATAAAAATTCCCATCCATCCACTACAGCCAATAAAACTCCACTGCTCTGAACATAGGTTGCCTCATACAAGGAATATTGTCATAGTTGCTAAATAACAAAGGAACAGAAAAGGAACTGAGCAAATATCGAATTGAAGCACTAAAATAAAGAATTATCAAAATCGGACTACACTGTAAAAAGTTAAGCATGGTCATACAAAAAAAAAATTAACGCGTTGACTTGAGAACCTCCTCCGTTTTTTTTTCGTCGGTTAATAAATACACCAATTTTTGGGGGGAAAAGACAATGACAATTATAATGTTAGCAAGGATGAGCCAAAGCACACGTATTTAATATGTTCCGGCCATAAATCGCAATTTTTGATAATGGTGATACAATATCAATATATAATAACATTTTATATATTTATATACATGTATAAAGTATCTATTTAACTGCTAGATCTAAACATGAAAATGAAATAGTCCTTATATCAATGCAATAGAGTTCAGAATTTAGGAGAGCGAATATTGCTGGACCGTTTAATATGGCGGCGCCTGCATTGTCTCGCGGGGCACATAGCCTCATACTTGCAACTGAAGGACGGACAGACTAGAGTTCTATCACATTGGGCATGCTATAAAGTAAGTAATTATCTCCGTAGGAATTTTCTGTCTATAGTTATAAATTCATCTGACAGACACTATTTATATCCTATCTATCCTATTTATGTCGCGAGAGCGACAGACAGGTTCTGCAAAACTCCCATGAAGCAAATACAAAGAGGAGACGGCAGAAGCAACTGTGCACTGTGATTCTAAGTAGGTCCTGACGTCATGTCTTGGGCGTGGCTTTAGTTAGTATACTGTCAGCATTCGTCCTGTACGCTTATGTGTTGAAAATCGCAAATCGGTGTATTTTCGTAATATTAAAAAGAAAGGGATGAATTGTTGTGTTTCGTGTAAAAACTACGCAGATAGACGCTCTGATGCTATGGATGGCATCACATTTCATTTGTAAATAATTTTACACCTAATTTATTAAAATAGTTCTAGAAAAATCTCTTTTCGTCGCCTTAAAATATAATTAAATATATTCGACACTAGATGGCGATACTGTGTCATGTTAACTAATAATATAAAGGTACGTAGAGCTCAGTATTGGTTTAATAATTATACGAAGGTGCTGAAATTTGTTTTGCATTCAGACATAAAGAAATTTTAATCGCCAAAATATTATTTTTATAGTTTATAATCATTTTGTGAACAGGCCGCCATGTATCTTCAAGGTAGCTAAACTACATTGCAACATCGTTATGGAACGATTCGAGTAGTTTTACTATTTATCGATAGATGTAGATAGTGTAAAGTGGGCGAGGCTTAACATCCCCTCACCCCGCAAATTGTTACGCGTTGTTACATAGTGAAATCTAATTACACCTCCTCTTTGTATTTGCTTCATGAGAACTCCTACCAAATAAAAACCTACGGCGTTCATCTCTTCGCTCTTAGTCGGAGCTACGGGAACGCTTTCGCACACATCCGCAGCCCCGACGGCAATAGCCTTTACAGGGTACTTGGGGGTGTAGCTCGGCTTCTCTACGCCTTCTTCATTTAGGGGTGCGTAAACACACCTTACACGCCACCTCGAGGCCTTGCGTGGCTTGCTCACCTAGCTTAACGTTGGCCTATTCGTTCTTGCTTTTAAGATACCCACTATTTCAACAGTCAGTCCCGTTGATAAAGAACGCGATCATGAAATAATATAAAAATAGTAAAAAAAAATTATTCTACAGGTAACTCAGCCCCATTTGGACAACGAGAGCGCCGCGCGTGAAATCGGCGACAAACTGCGGAATATACCGGGAATATCATACGCTACGATCGCTATGAAAGCTGCCGAGAAAGGCAGGAAGGCGCTAGCGATCAAAGTAAGTCAGTTTTGCTTTAGAACATAAAATTATAACTTAAAGAAAGAACAAAAATCTAAAAGCTATACTTTTTTCAAGATAAAATCTTAATTAAGGCAAAATTTTTATTGTTAGCCTAAGGCTTGAGGAAGCTACTTTAACCAATTCATTGCGGTTTTTTTCCTGTGTGGCGTATGACACGCGAATCGTGTCATTTTAAAAATCGTTATAACTCGCCCAAATTGCGATTTTGGAAGATTTATCCAGAGCAAAATATTCATTATCTTGCAAGTGGTTTATGTCCACAGACTTAGTTTCTGGATATTTTGTGAATTTTAAATTTTTAGGGGTTGACAATATTTTTTTAACTTGTGGATGGCAACTCCTTTTCTGCCGACGTCAAAAATGAGACGATACTCAATTCGACTGTATGTTTTTTTTATGTGTGTTACCTCGTAACTTATTACTGCGTGAACCGATTTCGATGATTCTATTTGAAAGGTGTTACTTCACATGTGGTCCCATATGAATTTGATCAAGGTCAGACCAATAGTTTTTGAGTTATTCTTAATAATTTATATTGAAATTGAAGTCGGCTGTACAAAAATTTTAATCCTTAATTATTACTGTACGGGTTTTTAAATAATGTTGTAGTAAAATACTCTCTAATAAGTAACAAATAATAGCTAGCACTAATCACGAACGCTCACGAACTCAAATTGTAAACAAGTTTCTGGAACGTCTCTTGTTAAAAAAAAAATACATAGTGCGTTTGTCTTATGATTTAATTTTTGCTTAAAATGGTTAAACTAACGTCTTATTATTATCATGTGGCCGAAAGTGCCTACGAAGTACCATGTGTTTTTGTACATGCTTAAAGAAAGCTGGTGCTTCTCATGTGATCCCATATAAATGATTGATCAAGGTCTAATCAATAGTTTTTGATTTATTCCTAATAATGTATATTGAAGTCAATTGTACAAAGTTTTTAATTTTAAATTATTATTTCTTTTTGAGCTTGAAAAGTTTCAAGATCTGAGTATGTTAGTGAATAATTTCCTGCATTTTGAAATATTTTGTCGTTGTCCTGATATTGAGTTTTGTCATCATGAATCTCTGTCTGAGGAATATAGGTAAGAAATATTCTCTATTATTTAATGTGTAGACTTCACGTAAATATAGAAAATCATTATGGGATTTTCTATTAAACTAGCGGATACCCGCGATTTCCTGTGCGTTGCTTATTATATTAACAAAGGACAGTGTTTTGCGTCCATACAATGTTCGCCTAAGAACCAACAGTGAAAAAAAATACCTTATTAAGTCCGAAATTACACATAATTGTATGTAAGAACAATAACTCCTGACGGACACTTCTGAAAACTTAGATATTTGCAGTTATCACAGAGATTTTGAGGTTATGTTTATGAAACATCGTATCCGTTGTTCAAGCCATTGTTCGTAATTTATATAAACTTATCGCATACAAAGCAACTACAGAGTGCACTTAGATTCCTAAAACATTTACAGAAATCTATTTTTTCAAACGAAACCAAAACAATAGCACGTCTGACGTCTTTGACTTGTTGTCATCTGTCAACGTTTTTGACTTTTTTTTTTTGCGTGGCACAATGCTGATTTGCCAATGAGATGACAAAAGTATTGTTATTTTAAATGAAAATAGATTATTTCATCGTACCCCAGTTCCTTGTGGCATATATTAATCTGAGATATATTTTAAAATATAAACGTTTTCATAATATATTTGAGTTTATGACAACTTTTGAAATATGTGAATGAAGGTATTGTGCGATTGGCCAAATCACAGGAGGCCATACACGAAGCACAATAGTATTAAAAAATAGGCACAAAGTTGAAAATCGAAAAAGTCCTTTTTATTTTGATTTCACAAGTCAGAAGTGTCCGTTACTTTCTAATGAATATTATCTAATGCATAATTAAGGATAAGAATTTTGGTAGTAGTCAAATATATGTTGGTTCTTAGGCGAGTTTTAACATTGTCCTTTATTGTATGTGCGAAGAAAAAAACATCAAAAATATCGCAAGTAAAAATACACTTTGCTTAAAAATTTATTCGTAAACAATGTTATTCGTTGCTCTTGTTTCTTAAAACGTTTATAACTTTATATTAAATGAAGATATCGCAATATTATTTTTTTAGATAAGTGCCAAGTGTCTAAGAAATAAAACTTAAAAAACCTAATTGATATCTATCCAGTAGTTTTTCCGTGATGCGCGCACAACTGCAAACCTCTGTTATTTTATTTATATAAAAGAAAACCTCTGTTATTTTATTTATATAAAAGAAAAGATAAAAGATTATAAGTATTCTTCCAGATCCTTGAATATGAAACACACAGCAAGCTTCAAGTGCCGTTGCTTCTCACTTTAGGAGAGGGCCCGACCGCTCTGCGCAAAGCTACTGCTAGCGGTGACACGGACCTCGTCTACATCGTTCTCTTACATCTCAAGGAGAAGATGGGCAAACACGAATTTGAGGTACTTGTATATATAATAATAAAATGAATTATACCTCCTTGCTTTTTATGAAACCATCAACAGCTCACTACTGAACGCCAGAGGCCTATATCCAGCAGTGGAGTAATCTTGGAAACTAATCTTAAGTAGGGAGAATTTCGATTGCTATGCCTGACAGGGAACGGGGAGTACTTCAAAGGTGTGAAACATCTGATATAGCATGTTGTAACGTCACAGTATCTTATAATGGCCATAAGAGAATTCGCAAAGGAGTCTCGTCTCGTGCATTTAGCAAAAGAAAACTAAGAAACAAAAATCGTAATCTGATATTAAATAACCTCTATTATATTTTTTTAAACAAGCACACAGTCCAACTGATGGTGATTGGTTGCTGTGACCCATAGAGATCTACATATATCCTCAATAAAGGATCAAAATGCAGATGCATTATCACCCTTGAGGACTAAGATGGAATATCTCATTTCCAGTAAAAAGGGTCTCCTGTTCCCTAAACTTACCATACGAAAAACAGCAGCATTAAGCTGATATTTTACGCTGGTATTCTGTGAGAGCATGGTTCTTCCCTGGTCGAGCCGACCCATTCGTGCTACAACTATACCAGTAATATAGCTGCAGCATGGCTCTACCACGTATATGATATTATAATAAAATATCGTTTGTTTGTTTGATATTATCATAAAACAGCGTATTGATTAAACTAAACACTTGCTTTAATAATTATTGGCCATAAAGCATAGTTCTGAGTCACCTGCATCCATCGACTTCTTGCAACAGCTAACTTTTCTCTATATTTTAATACCAACCATAAATGATTATCTTATTACTTGTCATAGTAAAACTTTGGTAACTACACTAAGGAAGTCACTAGTACGCATTTTTTTTGCCTAATTAAAAACAATAGATTAGACTAGAAAGAACACATCCATGTATTTTGTAAGATAATAAAAAGTCTAATCATATTATGTCAATATGACAAGACTGCTGACTCAATAATGTTAAGAGAGACTTGTACCCAGCTGTGGGACGTATGTAGATTGTTGTTTTACCATAGGTTAAAATTAATGAATATTGAAGGTAATACTTCTAATAAATACGATGCCTTCCCAGCTGACAATCCGAAGCTTCCCTTTGGCACAAGCGCTATATATAAAATACTGCGCGAGCCACAACCGCGAAGCGCTCCGCAAGGTGTTCGTACAGGAGGACAACTTCAGCGGGCAGGCCGCCACACATATAAGGGACGCCATAGAACAGACAAATCCCGGAAGCGTGGAAGCCTCACTCATATCTGCTAGAGAGTGCTACAAGAAGGGCAAAAACGATTTAGGTAAGATTTTATTCTATGTAACATTAAATTGATAAACGAGATAATAGTTATCTTGGTGGTAAGTTGCAACTGCAGCTCATGAATACTTGCTACCATCGCCCTAAATTATAGTGATAAGCACACAGCCACGTAATGGTGGGGAATCAACAATCTTCGTTCACCGTGGATAACCAAGTCATGGTTACTAAGCCTACCAGCCACAACAATTTTAAACTAAGGACTTTGACAATGTAGTAGAAAGATTATACGTGGTGGTGGATTGTTATACGTGGTAGAGCCATGCTGCACCTATATTAGTAGTATAGTTGTAGCACGAATGGGTCGGCTCGACCGAGGAAGGACCACGCTCCCACAGAATACCAGCGTTAAATAGCAGCTTAACGCTGCTGTGTTTCGTATGGTGAGTGTAGAGAACCTTTTTACTGGAAAAAAGACATTCCATCTTAGTCCTCACGGGTGACAACGCATCTGCATTTTGATTCGCAAACAAAGATAGTTGTAGATGTCTATGGGCCACAGCAACCACTTACCATCAGGTGGACTGTGTACTCGTTTGTCACCTTATCCTATAAGGACTATTACATCTTCCTACTACATTTCATTTTTTATTTATATTTCTATAATGTCCTTTTACACCATATTATGTACATCGCTTTCCATCTCTTTCCGCATTACTGGTGATATAATCACCAGATAATTTGGAGCCAAATACCAAATGCAGGTTAAAGGCAGCAACATAACTTGAACATAAATCCTAGGAATAACGTTCATCTACCATCCAACCAACCGTGATTGATAAAACATCGATGGAAGTAGACTTGATGGATATGATGAATGGATGGATAGCGGGGTGAAACGAACTATGTTGGGTAACAAGATAGGTCCATCTCTACTTAGTCTATATGTTCTGGCTGATGATTACAATGGTAATGAAGCCAGTATAATTGCAGTACATTTCTAAAGTACCCATTTGCCATATTATTATTATTATTATTATTTTTATTGTTTGACCTGTCTAATGTATGGTGGTTAGTGAAGCCTATATCTTAAAAAAGGGTGTAAACGGGCATGCAGCTCACCCTAATGGTAAGTGACTACCTCCACCCATGAACAACTGCAATACCAACAAGGGAAAAGTAGGTGCGATGCCTACCTTTTAAAAAGTGGTTAGTTACTTTTGAATTTAATAATTTATGATTTTGCAGGCGTATCAATCTGCGAAGATGCTCGCAAGCTGTGTAAGCAGCAGTCAAGTTTACAAGAGACGTATGGAGAAAGTTTTGTAGGGCTATCTCTTCACGACACCGTTAAGAAGCTTCTAGATCAAGGCGAAGTGAAACTAGCTGATAAATTACGTTGTGAATACAAAATGCCTGAAAGAAGGTGCATATATTTTTAAACATTTATATGGTGTTCCAAAACTGGATATATGTATTTATAAAAACCGCCGCACTAAGAAGATGGCTTTACAGCTCGAAAAACCGGTAACGGATAGGGAAGAAAGGTTCTCGTGTAGCAGTCTCGCATTGGCAAGCGCAGTGTTAGGTGACCTCACTAGATTGAGTGACGACCTGATTAAACATACAAGTCGTCAATGATCCACGACTTTTTGTGCCACCAGGGCGGCGCCACTAGAAAGTAAGGTATAATATTTGACAGATTTCATAGCGGGTAAGTTAATTTGTTCAGGAAAATGTAAAAGTTATTGTTTCTTTCTGTACTATTAGCTAATTTTAAATTAACAACATTAAAAATAAATAAACCAAAGTCCAGATATTCATAAAAGTAGAAAAATTAAAGACAATATCGTGCGGGCACGTACAATATAAATTAGAAGATATTTATGACTTATTAATCTTACATATTTGTATATTATAACAACGAGAGTGTTTCAAGATAATAGTTGAAGTATTACACAAAATCTCCAGGTATTGGTGGTTACGAATACTAACATTAGCGGAAAAAGACGATTGGGCTGAACTCGATCGTTTCTCGAAGTCGAAGAAATCTCCCGTAGGTTATGAGCCGTTCGTTGACGCCTGTCTTAAATACAACAAGAACGACGAAGCTCTCAAGTACCTGCCGCGCTGCAGAGACGACATCAAAGTTAAATATTATGTTAAAGCTGGGTAAGTGTAAAAAATATATATACTATAATTTTATATAATTATATAAGTCAATACGTTTTTTTATATAATCCAAAAGCTGGCGACGAATTCTGGGAAAGTCCTTTTGTCAAGTTGTTATTGTGAAAAAATATAATTTCGTCAATTGGCGAAACCAATCCCGCGAGTCTTGCAGAGCGTTTGCGGTTATTTCGTTATTCGCAGCATATAACATTTGCAAAAAAAAATATCCAAAAGATGTTGTGGTCCATTGACATCTACATATTATATCTTCGATTAAGAATCAAAATGTAGATGCGTTGCCACCCCTAAGGACTAAGATGGAATCCCTCGTTTCTAGTAAAAAAGGGTCTCCGGTTCTCTACACTCACCATATGCATCATTTGCAATATCACGCTGGTATTCTTTGAGAGCTAGGTCCTTCCCCGGTCGAACCGACCCATTCGTGATACAACCATAATATAGCTACAGCATGGCTCTACCACGTAAAAAGTTATTGCCCTCTGCCGTAATTTTACGGCAATCTTGGAACCGAATTTCGGGAAACCTAAGTTTCATTGTTAAACGAGACTATTTATCTGTGAGACTTTACCAAGTTTGGTGTAGGAATTCAAAGCAAAGGATTACTGGTCTCGACCATAGTAGAGACGTCGCACTTATACTTATAAATTTAGAGTTGACGTAAGATGTTATATTTTTCAATGATTTCCAAAAATACCTATCATTTCGAATTTTCATATTCCAGATTCTACGAAGAAGCAGCACGAGTGGCGTTTGAGCAGAAAGACAAGAGTGCGCTATTCTTCGTCCAAAGCAAGTGCCCAATTCGCGAGTCGAGTCAGCACGCCAAAATATCGGCATTGCTCGAGCAATTAAATACAAAAAAATAAATCCTACTAAACTGTAGCCTGTACAGCATAAAATAATCCACATTCTTATTTTAATTCTATATTATGTTAAGTGTTGTATTGCTATTTAGTAGTATCTAAGGGTGTGTTCTGATATACACTGCGAACACTGCACTCATCATTTTCATCATCATTACAGCCCTTCACAAGTCCACTGCTGAACATAGGCCTCCCCCAAAGAATGCCACAAAGCACGGTCCTGAGCCACCTGCATCCATCGACTTCCTGCATGTCTTACCAGGTCGTCACTCCATCTCGTGGGGGGACGCCCTACAATTCGCCTACCGGTACGAGGCTGCCACTCGAGAACCTTTCTTCCCCATCGGTTGTCGGTTCTTCGAGCTATATGGCCGGCCCACTGCCACTTCAGCTTACTAATTCGTTGGGCTATGTCGGTTATTCTGGTTCTACTGCGGATATCCTCATTCCTAAGTTTATCAAGCAGAGAAACTCCGAGCATAGCCCTCTCCATAGCTCGCTGAGCGACCTTGAGCTTCCTCATACGGCCAGCAGTGAAGGACCACGTCTCAGTTCCGTAAGTCATCACTGGCAACACGCACTGGTTGTACAATTTCGTTTTAAGGTTTTGAGGTATGTCTGACGAGAAGATGTGTCGTAACTTCCCGAACGCTGCCCAGCCGAGTTGAATCCGCCGATTGACCTCTCGGTCGAAGTTGGACTTACCTAGTCGGACTATTTGTCCCAGGTAAACATACTCGTCAACAACTTCGAGCTTAGTGCTCCCAACAACTACCGGCATAGGTGTGACATGGACATTAAACATAATCTTTGTTTTGTCCATGTTCATCTTAAGACCTATCCGTTGGGAAACACTATTGAGGTCATTGAGCATAGTGCTTAGGCCCTCCAGCGATTCTGCCATAAGGACTATATCGTCGGCAAATCGAAGGTGAGTGATGTACTCGCCATTGATGTTTATACCGTACCCTTTCCAGTCCAGAAGCTTGAAAACGTCTTCCAATGCAGCGGTGAAGAGTTTCGGGGATATGACGTCACCCTGTCTTACACCTCTCTGCAATTGGATAGGTTTCGTACTCTGGTTCTGTACTCGGATAGCCATCGTAGCCCTACTGTACAAGCACTTCAACACTTCGATATACCGACAGTCAACTTGGCACCGCTGAAGGGACTGCAGCACCGCCCAAATTTCGACGGAATCAAAGGCTTTCTCATAGTCCACATACGCCAGACATAGTGGCAAATTGTACTCTTCGGACTTCTGTACAACTTGCCGAAGGGTATGTATGTGGTCTATGGTGCTAAAGCCCTTTCGGAAACCGGCTTGTTCGGGAGGCTGGAAGTCGTCAAGTCTGCGCGCGAGACGATTCGTAATGACTCTCGAAAACAGCACGTAGACGCGGCTCAGAAGGGAAATCGGTCTGTAGTTCTTCAAGAGAGCGTTGTCACCTTTCTTGAAGAACAAGACCACCGCACTTCTGCTCCACGCCTCCGGTGTAATGCCACCATGGAGGACGGAATTAAAGAGCTTCTGAAGGACTTCAAGTACCGGTCTTCCACCCGCTTTCAGAAGCTCCGCTGTAATTCCATCCTCGCCTGGGGCCTTACCGTTTTTAAGGTGCTGGAGAGCCATTCTAATCTCGCTCAGACTGACGTCCGGGATATCTTCGGAATAGTGTCGGATGAGACTCGCTCTTGGATCGTTACTCACACTTGCGTGTGGCTCCAACGATGACGTGTACAGCTGCCCATAGAACCTCTCAATCTCACTCAAAATCTCAGGTGTCCCGGAAACGATGCTGCCACATTGTGTCTTCAGCTTTGACAGTTGGCTCTTTCTGGCAGACAGATCTCTGGCAAGGACTTTGGAGCCTTGGTTCCGCTCGATCGCTTCTTCAATACGAGCTGTATTGAAGTTGCGTAAGTCCCGCCGCATGCATTTGGAGATCTGTCTGTTCAGATGCCTGTATGCTGTCAAGTCTGTTGAAGAATGTAGCTTCATCTCCCGTCTAACAGCCATGAGATTAAGAGTGTGATCGGAGAGTTTTTGTGTTCTTCTGCGGCGGGTCTTGCAGAACTTAGCTCCGACCGCATGGACAGTTTCCACGAGCTTGTCATTCATATCGTCCACTTCTTTGCAGTCTTCTAGGCACTGAAAACGGTTTTGTAACTCGAGCTGAAAGGTTTCGGGACTTTGGATTAGAGCACGAGGGGGACGGAGCGTTGACTTCATTAGACGAGACCTCTCCAACTTAACGTTTAGGTTCAGTGTGCCTCTAACCATTCGGTGATCGCTACCAGTTTTCACCCTTGCGATCACGGAGACATCACTGAACAGTTGTCGTCTGGTCGTCATAATGAAGTCAATCTCATTTTTTGTCGAACCGTCGGGGCTCGACCAGGTCCACTTCCTGTGGGGCCGCTTCTGGAAGAAAGAGTTCATCATAAAGAGTCCCTCTTTCTCCATGAAGTCGGCCAGCTGCTGGCCCCTTGGGTTCCGTTGCCCTATTCCAAATTTCCCTACTTTCAGCTCACCGTTCTCTCTTGTGCCTAGTTTTGCATTGAAGTCTCCCATTAACACCGTATATTGGGTTTTGGAGGAATGCATGGCTCTAGAGATATCCTCATACATTTCCTCCACCTCCTGATCGGGGTGTGCCGAGGTTGGTGCGTAAACCTGTATGACCTTCAGCGAATACCGTTTGGTGATTCTGAGTATAAGGTACGCAACCCTCGTCGACACACTCCCGATCTTTACAACGTTGTTAACGAGAGACTTGTGGACGATAAATCCGACACCTCCTTGGGACAGATGGTCGCCCTCCCGGTGATAGAGCAAGTTGCCGGATTCGAGGATTACCGTGTCCTCCCCCTCTCTTCGGACTTCGGATAATCCTATAATATGCCAGCGCAACTTGTCTATCTCTTCTTCCAGCTCCACGATCTTCTCGTCAGTCCTCAGGGTGCGTGCGTTGTACGTTGCCAGGTCGAGTCGTCTAAGGTGGCAACCGAACCTCCACCGGAGATTCTTAGCACCCCCTGCCCCGCCGTTACCATGGTCGCCACCGTAGCCAGGAATAGCGGGGCCGCCGGGGACTGGGGGCCGTCTGTTTGTTGCTTTAGTCATTGGGGGGTATTTGCCATAGTTGCCACGCTTGGCGAGCGGGTTGGCAACCGCAGTTTTTTTATTATAATTTTGGCTATTATCAGGAAGATGCTGCTGCCCATCTTCTGCCTGTTTCCCTTTGTCGCCTTTTACGACACCCACGGGAGGATATGGGGTAGTGGATATTCTTGACCGCCACTACACTGCACTCACTGGTGAAAAATTCGTTCCATTATGGACTGCTGCAGTGCCCTAAGGAAATATATTACGTCATAAATTGTCGCCATTTTTGTACTGTGAGCACTGGCGCTTTCGAGTTAAGGTGTTCTCAGTACTTTGATCACATGATCAAAAAACAAAACTGCGCTTAGAGATTTGACAGCTTCCACGAATGATTGTTATTATTATTAATTTTGTTATTCAAATAAACTTGGACATTAAATTTTAAAAATAACAACATTCAAATAATAATTTTTCTTGTTGAACAGAAAACGCATACATGATAAATATTTTCATTTGAAAACAGTGTCGAAATTGGGGATGATAGTATACTGAACTGCGTTCCGTTTTAAACAGTAACCTGTATAGTAAACTAAAAAGGAACGGCTTCACATTATACTGAATTGACGGCACACTTTATTTATGGTCACAGTGCATATCGGAACACACCCTTAGCCTGTCACATATTGTTTATAATGTCTTGTATATTGTTTAAAGGATCCCAAATAAAACTAATGAAAATAGCATAGCTGTGTTTGGCTTTTTATTTATATCATACGTGAACATCGTAAAAAACAAGTTATAAGTTGACACACATGCTTTCATTGACTACTTAGAAACTGCAAACATATAATCTGCTTAATTATGTATATTATCTTTCTTTTCTGGTCTGCAACATATTATATCTTTAATTCATATGACACTAAATACTTCACATCGATAAATGGTTTAAATCTCAAGTCATGACACATTTATGAGAATTTTAATTAAAGTACAATTAGAAATAAATGGAATAGCATATTTTAAAATAGACAAAGGAAATAAGTCACTCGTATCATTCAAATAATATTATTATAAATTCGTTTTATTTCAAATAGGTACGCTGATAGTAGAATTAGAATTACCTGACAATTATAATATATTTTAAAACAATTTGAATGCTTCCGATATTTTTAAATTTAGAATAATAAGAGATTTTTAATAATAGCTATGAATAACATACAAACATGCAGCTGCTTTGTCATTACATTGTATGAATTTAGTTGAATATGTCTATATTACTATATTATGAAATTAATATAATTTGCATATGAATAACTAGTTCCGTGTTGTGGTGGTTAGAGAATTCACTATACCATATCATAGTTGGTGTCGTAAGTCATGGAGAAACTGAAACCAGATACGTTTGACTACTACGTCCTGATAGCAGCAGCATCTTCTGATAATATCTTAATAATAATGGAAAAATGCCAACCCTCCTGCCAGTCGAGACGATTGTGGCAAATATCCGCCTATGAGACAATATATGGGAGGCTTATGTTGTCTTGGGCTGTTGGAAAAATAAATGAACTTGATCCGAATCTTTTTCTGTTGAAATTGGACAAAAGCATACCTCTACCGGCCAATGAAGCATCACAACCATTTATGAACTGATTCTTGATAAACATAACATTATGGGGAGCACAGTTAAAGGGTACGGCTAACCATCTCATTGTATACAAATCTCTGGCACCAAAATGCAGTAAATTGAGATAATAATAACAGTAATGTCTTCTATCTGCGCAGCACAGGGTTATAGTGCCCTGTATGACAATCTCACACGATCGAAGAGAGATCAGACGCAGGACCAGCGGCTTTACGTGTTTTGCGAATCACGGAGGTAAAAAATCGCAAAGTT